ACACCCCAGATTGGCCACGACCGAGATGTCTCGGCCACATTCGAGATTCGCAGGCACTACCCTTCACAGGCAAACGCGAAGTCTCAAGAGTATCCTACTCCGGAGAAGTGGGGGCCTCGGGGCAGGGATGGAGGCCAAAAAAAAAAAAAAGTAAAGAAACGAGGAACTTAGAATCCACCTGCGTCAGGAAGGCCCTCAGATCACGGGTGCTTTGAGGAATGTATCTGGCCAGGAAGTGAGGAACATGAAACATGTCGATTTCCTTTTTTGTTTCTTGTTGTGAGGTCCCTGTAGCGCCCTGCCAGCCAGGCAGGGCGGATTCCACGCTTCATTGAGTTCCAGACAAGTACTGTAGCATCCTGTATCGGACCGCAATCACAACATAAGGGATGTTTTTTTTTTTTTTTTTTTTATCTGCTGTTCGGGGCCCTTACTGAACTGCATAGGGTCGAGTTTCAACTGCAATTGAAACTCGGGCTGAGTCTCAGCTGCAATTGAAACTCGGGCCTTGACGAAACTGCTAAAACGCAGTTTCGAATGCAATTACAAACTGTTTTGGTGACTGCGCCGAAGTTACCCATTAAAAAAAGGGAAAAAAAAAATATTGCTTTTTTTTTAATTATTTTTACTTTTTTTTTTTTGTTTTTTTTTTTTTATTTTTTTTAATTTTTAAATGAAGTAAAACTAAAAAAAACAATTATGAGGTTGTAGGGTTTTGCAAACCCTACAACCCTATATTATTTAATTTGTTTTTCACGTATTTTTTGACCCCCCCAAAAAAATTCAAAAAATCAGGCCACAAACTAGGCCTCCGAACCGCAGCCGAGGCGGACTTTTTCGGCCGCGGCGGCGAGGTTGCCCGCGGCCGCGACCGCGGGTGTAATGTAGTTAAAGAGTGAAACTTGCCCCAAGTATAGCACGTGTGGTACGAAGTTAGCCCCAATCCTCTTCGGGTATGACAGAAGGATCCCATGTTCTGAGACCCTAACCTCATGCCCAACACGATTTCCTGTTTCGGAGTGGGAGGGGGTCCGAAAGTGTGTGAAACAGTGAACGGGGTGTGCCAAGGATTTTTGGAAAGTGGGGTGGGGTCCTAGGTCGGAACAGGGATCTCCGGTGCCAAATTTGAAGGACAAAAGTGCAAGTGACTCGGTGAGGAACCAGTTTTTCTGTTCCCCTTCTCATAACCTGGTGGCTACGTCCGACAGCCCCGTCGCATGGGTCGAATTCGGATCTGGGGGAACACAGTGGCCGTCTTTCTGGCCAACATTTGTTGCCGGAAGGCTTCATTGATCTCCGAGTCTGACGTGGACGGCTTCGACCGAAGACTATGCTCTCGGCGTTCAGCTTCAGAACAGGTTCGTCGAACAAATTCCGCGGCTCGGTAGGAATTATAATGTTGGCACTCAGAGCACGACCTTTGTGGCTAGTAAGGGGCTATTGTGTTCCAGGGAACAACTATAAGGGTGTGGTAAGGAAGGAGGCGATAGAAGGGAGGGAACTTGGTGGTTATGACGATGAATCTCAGGTTCGTGAAGAACAGGTGATCGTGCGTATAGAGGCTAACTGGGATTCAAGGTCTCTTTTTCTATAGCCTGCTGGAAATCCCATGCGCACACCACATCGTTCTATTTTAAATATGCAAAGCCAGGAAGTCCCAACCTCGTTCGTAGAGAAAGATGCTCGTTTTCCAAGTATTCGCGGAGCTCAGGGTCTCTTAGATAGTCGTGGTGGGTCATCCAGACGGAATGATGATGTCCATCTTTTGAGAGGGAACCTGGATCCATGCGTGCATGTGACATAGTGTAGTCGGAGGTAGATCACGCAGATACTACGTTACCGAACGTACACGTATGGGGCCTTTCC